TCTCCCTAGTGGAGTGGAAGCCCCTCAAGACAGTGGAGACCCAAGGGATTCCTCTGTAGCAGAGCTGATGCTGCCCTGGTAGGACCAGGCTCCATGGCACACTCCAGGCAGGCTGGCACAGAAAGTGGCAGTGTCTGTCAACCTGAGCAGCCACCTGGAAGTCTTCTTTTGATTCAGTCCTCTTTCTCTCTAGAAGCTGGGACAAATCCAACTTTAGGGCTGTGCCCAGAGGGTGTTGCCAACCGTGACCCTGGCATCTTGTCTCTTGTTTCTCTTGATAGTCTTTCCTTCTTCCTACTTCTTTCTGCACCCTTCCTCTTCCACTTTTCCTTCTTCCAGCCTTGACTTGCTTACCCCTGCTGATGTCCCTTGGGCAGACAGCACAGTGGGTGGGTTCCCCAAGATGGAAGGAGCAGGTCAGGGGAGAGGTCGGAGTCTTTAACTCTTGATCGCACCAATTCTCTGTGGGGAAGTCAGAGTTGGGGTCCTTCAACCGCCTGGCCTACATTTTTCTTTCAGGCATTTGGGTGGGAGTAGTTGTCTTAATTCCAAGAAATATGCATACTAAATTGGTTACCTGGAGAATCAGGCTGAATTTGTTTCCATTTTTTCAAAAATTGGGGCATGGATGAAAAGGAGGCATTAAATCCCCATTCTTGGGATTAGGACACAATTAACTTTGTGAATTTGATTGCTAAAGTTATCATTAATATTTCCCATTGAGACCTCAGAAGTATAAACTGTCAACCTTGATGCAAGTTTGCTGGCCAGTTCTGAGAGCTATATGCAATTCTGATCTTGGCCCCAGTGGTTTGAGAAAAGGTCAGATTCCCAAATCTCCTAGTTCTTTTATCTACCCTCCACCCCCACCCCAATAACCCAGCACAAAGGTTTGTCCCTGGTCTTCTCCACTCCCTCCCAGCCCCTCCAGCCCCTGCCTCCTAACAATAATCCATCATTGTTATCTCATTTGGTGTTTGCAAAGCACTTTGCAGCTATTGTAAGTTTTTCCTCTTATTTGCAAAGTACTTTACAACTATTATTACAAGTCTTTTCTCTGAATGTAGGGTAATGCTAACTCACCTTTGAGAGTTGGATCCCCACTGCCAACTAAGTGGCTGGACCAATTCCCATGATGCCCAGCACTGGGTGGGACTTTCATAAATCAGATGTCAGAGCTGTGCCCTCTACCCTGCTCCTGCCCACTTGCCAGCTGGGAAGCTCAGCCCAGTACATTTCCAGTGAAGAAATAGGAGGTGGTTGTTCACAAGGTCCACACAGGATGTTATTGCTGGTAGGTGCTAAAGCAGCAAGCTTTGAACTTTGTGCTGTCCATTCTTCAGTCCAGGGTTAGAAAAATACACGTCAGGTGGAAGAAGACAAAATAGTCCCTTCCTCATCGTGGACTGGAAGCTGCATGAGGTGATCAGATTTTGTTTTTGTTTTTTTTTTCCAGATTTTTCTTTAAAGTAGGCAATATGACATTACAGAATGTTTTGTTTTGTTTTGTTTTTAAAAGTCCGCTCAATTTAACTATCTTCACAATGATTCCTCCTGATAGTATTAGCTACCACCACAGTGTATTTGCCATTTTGTATGCTGCATTTTTCATTTAATATTATTGGGCTGGGGATAAGCATTTTTCTCTATTGTTACACAGTTTTGTAATAATCAGTTAAAATTTTTATGTAACATTTCATCGAGCAGATTCGATGGCAAGATTTTGTGGTAGAAACGTCTGCAGATTAGAGGTGGTAGTGGGCTGCAGGTAGACATGGCTGGGTCTGTCTGGAAGTCTTTATGAAGCACGGCCTTTACCTCTTGTCCAGAGTATTCCTTTGGCTGCTATTAAAACACTTGATCTAGCTCAAGGCCTAGGTCAGACTTCTACACTCTAGCCAAGAAGTGTCTGCTACCCAGGTCTCTAACTCAGTTAACGATGTGTTCTGAAAATGAATTGAGTAATATTGTTACTCATTATTGATATTCAGGCCCATTTCGCCCAAGTAGATCATTAACATTCTGAGAGCAAGGCTCCCTTTTAGCTCATATGGCATCTATTGGAGTGCTTAAGTAGCAGATGCTCAGTAAATATTTGTTGCTGATAAATACATATTTGCCAACTTCCAATGCCTTTACCTGGCCAGTAAAATAGTTGCTTGAATGTATAATCCATTCTTTGAGGAAGCATGAAGGAGTTTCTCAAGGCACTGTGAGGTGAGTAATTGTAGAGAGGAGACCCTAAAGATTGCTGGGGCAGCTTATTTAAAGTGAGATTCTGTCCTCACATATAAAACAATAAAAAGAGAAAAGGGAATCACCCCTCCAAAAATGAAGAATAAATTATGAGATTATGTCTGTGGGGCCTTCTTTATATAAATCTGAATACAGAAAATAAAATTGTCTGCTAATCTCTAAGAGAAAATTGTGAGTCCTTATCTTTTAGAGCTATATACTGAAATATTTATGAATGAAATGATAGAATGACTGAGATTTTTCTAAATAACTGAGCATGACGGAAATTAGATGAAGGTATAGATGAGACAAAATTGGACACAAATTGGTGGGAGATGGATTATGGGTAATTAAGAGTTTATTTTTATATTCTGTGCACTTTTGAATATGTTTAAATTTTTCTATAATAAAGAAAAAAGAGTAAGAGGGTTACACTAGGTTTGGACCCGTTACCATCGAGTCGATTCTGACTCACAGTGACCCAATAGGAAAGAGTAAACTGCCCCATAGAGTTTGCAGGGAGCAGCCGGTGGATTCAAACCAATGACCTTTTGGTTAGATGATCTAAAAAGTCCTCGAGAGGGTTTTAGTGTCTTGGTTCAATTTTGGGGTTGTAGTGCCATCTAGTGTTTATTATAAACACCCAAAAAATAACTATATTGCTAGTGCTTCCATGATGGAAGATGTAACGGTGAAGGGGGGACTTTGTCTAATGAAGTCCTTTCTGTGAACTCCATGGACCTTTCTAATTCCCTCATGGGTGAGTCTAGGGTTGAGGGGAGAGGGGCTGACAGGTCACAGACAGGAGGGCATATGGTTGTGGAGGGGGTTTCCATCCTACTGTTCCAGATTGTTACTCAGTCCACGCCTCCCAGGCTGGGGGAGCAAACTGTGGACAGGAGTCACCATTTTGTGTGCAGCTCTGAAGGCAGTTAGCTGACCTTGGTGGGAGGGTTCTCAGTATGACCCAGGTGCAAAAATAGCCTCTCTTGTGACTGGTGTGTGCTCGGCTCTCTGACCTGAGCAAACAGCCCCTCACACCTGCACATTGTTTACTTGGTGTAGACACACAGCTACTTGTTTGCAGGTGCAAATGACTGTTTATGTACCCAGAGTTGAGGACAGGGCTCTGGCACCTATTCTCTTCTCAACCTGGGCCACAGGACACTCAAAATGTGCGACCTTAAACCTCAGGGCTGGGTTCTGATGGACGAGGAGCTTTTAAAGACATCACCACCACCCCTTCTCTGAAGAAGAAATCACCCTTGCCTCTGGCAACAGGACAAGAAAGATATGAGACCAGGACAGTTACGCTTAGTGACAGAAAATTCAGGGATTGCAACTAATGTCATAAAACAATTTATGTATAACATTTTTGAATGAAAAACAAATTTGTGCTGTAAACTTTCACCTAAAACACAGTAAAATTTTAAAAAAGAAGAAGATTTCAGGAGTCAGAGACAGCTCTGGTAGTCCTGAGCCGGGCTGTATATAGAACATAGGCAATAAGAAAACTGGCCCAGCCTATCTCACAAGGGCACCTAAATTGGACGCGAATGGAATTTTCAATTGTAAAATTCCACAGAAATGGAAGATAAAGATGATGGTGGGGAGGATATTTAACGGAGTGCAGTATAGTGACAAATGATGACAACTTTCTTCTGATAGAAGTGTAAATTATCATACTTAATCGAATTTATTGCTTATAACATGCATCTTTATTTTGTGTAACAATGAGCAAGAAAAAAGGTTGCCAGTTAAACTATGATACAGCGTAAGACACATCTCTATTTCAGATATATTAAAATGGGAAAAATGAATTAATGAAATACATTGGTATACCCTTTTGGCAGAGCAGTTTGAAAATTATTAAGAATTTTTTAAAAAAATTAGTCCGTTTGACTCAGTAATCCTACTTGTAGGCGAATGTCCTAAAGAAAAATTTGAAATGTAAAAATTTGTGTACAAAATGAACATATTTATAAAACAAAAATTAGAAATAGTAGTTAAATGATAAAAGTTCAATGAGGACACATTTATATGATGGAATATTATACTGCCTTAAAATGAGTTTATGAAAAATTTCTAACATGGTAAAATGCTTTGGTATTAAGTGAAAACCACAGGCTCAAAATTGTATATAGCTTGACCTCAACTAGGAAAAAACATGCCAATATATAAAGCATTGCAAAGGATATAATAGAACAAAATGTTGACACTGGTGATATTTGGTTTTAGGGTTATATATGATCTGTATTTTCTTTACACATTCCAATATTTTCTAGTTTTCCTAAATATTTGTTATATTTTTACTCAAAGGGGAAAACGATCTCAGTTTTGAAAGGGAAAAAGAGAGAAAAGAAGTTCTGAACAGACCTCAGTGTTAGGGGAGAGCCTCAAGGCTTTAGGCTTTAAATGAGAATCTAGGACTAAAATCCAGATGTCTGGCCCTGGCCCCTGGTCCCTAGTGATCGCTGCCAACTCTCTTCCTTTTCTCGTGATTGGGAGAGCCCTGCTGCATCTGGGGTGCCAGAGAGTAAAAATGTTCACTTCCTACCACAGCCTGCTGAGCCACTCCCCTAGGAGTTGAGGCCAGGGTGAGGAAATGTGAGGGCAGGCCAAGGTGATCTTGCATTCCTGCAAGGAAACGTTCCTTCCAAGAAAAAGGCATTATTTCTTCGGTCTCTAGATTTTCAGACACAAGATTTCTTGACACAAACAAGAAGTTAATCCTCTGTATTTTTGTCCTGTTATTTCTCACCCAGTAGATATGTTTGATGACTTCTCAGAAGGCAGAGAATGTGTCAACTGTGGGGCCATGTCCACCCCACTCTGGAGGCGGGATGGGACAGGACACTACCTGTGCAACGCCTGTGGCCTCTATCACAAGATGAATGGCATCAACCGGCCCCTCATCAAGCCCCAGCGCCGGCTGGTAAGAAAAGTCCCTCAAATTCCTGAAGTCCAGCAGCCTGTGGAATGGCCACACTTCTGTGGCTCCTTCTTGGGACATGGCTCAGGACTCTTGCCTCAGTGGGTTATCTGGAGCTTCTCTGGTTTTGAATTTTGGAATTCAAGCCACCTACACTTTAAAAATGAGGGCAGTGGTGATTCAGTGGTAGAATTCTTGCCTTCTATGTAGGAGCCTCGGTTTTGATTCCCAGCCAGTGCAACTCATGCACAGCCAGCACCCATCTGTCAGTGGAGGCTTGCATGTTGCTATAATGCTGAACAGGTGTCCGGGGAGCTTCCAGACTAAGACAGACTGGGAAGAAAGGCCTGGTGATCTTTCCAAATATCAGCCGATGAAAACCCTGTGAATCAATATGGTCTGATCTGCAACAAAGCATGAGGATGGCACAGGATCAGGCAGTGATTCCTTCCACTGTGCATGGAGTCGCCATGAGTCAGGAGCCAACTCAACGGCAGCTAACAACACTTTTTAAAAGAAAGTATGGGTTGAGGGGTTAGGTGGATGAGTAGGGAGAAACAGTAATTTTTCACACCTTTAGAGTTAGCTTGAGCTACAAGGATTTTCCAGACCATCTAGTTCAAACCCTTAAATATACAGAAGTAAAAACTGTGGCTCAGGAAAGCTAAGGGGCTTGCCCACAGTAACACAGATAAGAGTTTCGGATCTGGAACCAGAATTCAGGCTTCCTGGTTCCCAACCCAGTATTGTCTTTTGTGTCTCTTATATTCACATCAAGAGGAGGGTTAACCCAGAGGCTGTTATTTATCTTATTTTCAGATGATAAAACCCAGAACCCAGGGAGGTTGAGCAGATTGTATAGGGCCCTGTAGCTGGTGAAGAATCTGGAATTGGGGCTGGGACCCAGGTTTTTTACTCCTGGTCCAGTGCTCTTTTCTACTGAAATTTGATTTTGATCAACACCAGCTAGCTTTTGTGTATATGAGGGAGGAACATAACCCTGATGCTTCCCTTTCTTGTGATCCCAAGGCCCGTCCCTCACCTTGATGACACTTGAATACAATAATTCCCCATGCACCACTCTTACCCGGCACCTTGGAGCATCTCCTCTGAAGCTAAAGTTAATTCTACTTTTTGGCGAAGCTTTCTGCTAACAGCACCGTGTTTGCTTCGTTGTTCATCTGAAGTCGAATGACTAACAGGTGCCACAGCTAGGACTAGAAACCAGGTTTTCGGTGACCAAATTCACTCTTTTTCTCTTGCAGCGGAAGTCTCTACTCTCATTCACATCTAGGAGTGGCTTAGGTAACAGGAGAATCTGGCCCTATAACTGGTCTGATTCTCACACGGGGCTATTATGACTAACCCTGCCGCCTATTTCAGGAAGGCCTAGCTCCCTGGCATTCCATGTGAAGTAGCAAAGTAGGAAAGCCTGCCTTTGACTTGGACTTGGACGGTTTGTTTCCTGTGTTGCAGTCGGCCTCCCGCCGAGTGGGCCTTTCCTGTGCCAACTGCCAGACCACCACCACGACTCTGTGGCGCCGCAACGCTGAGGGCGAACCCGTGTGCAACGCCTGTGGCCTCTACATGAAGCTCCATGGGGTAAGAAGATCCCACTCCTCTTCCCCACAGACCCCAAGCTCCTACCAGGCAGGGTGACTGCCTTGATCTTTTCCAATCACTCATTTCTCACTTTTACCTTTTCTCCTTCAGACTGTAATTCATATTTTTCTTCTTAACAAAGATACTTAGATTTGGAAGGGACCTTAAGAGTTCTCTCTGGTCTTCCATTGCTAACATTGCATAAGTCTTAATTCACATTTTACAGATGAGGTGACTCAGAAATAGTCTATATATAGTAACATGATATAACAAAGTTGACATTTCAATTCAAAAGATAAAAGGATAGTTTGTTTAAGAATAATAACACCCATTGCCATCAAGTCAATTCTGACTCATAGTGACCCTATAGAACAGAGTAGAACTGTCCCATAGGGTTTCCAGGGAGTGGCTGGTGAATTTGAACTGCTGACCTTTTGGTTAGTGGCCCATCTCTCTTTTTTTTTTTTTTTAACTTGTGGGTTTTTTTTTTTTTTAATTTTAAATTTTTTTTATTGTACTTTAGGTGAAAGTTTACAGAACAAATAGTTTCTCATTAAACAGTCAGTACACATATTGTTTTATGACATTGGTTAACAGCAGCCCATCTCTTAACCACTGTGCCACCAGGGCTCCGTTTAAGAATAATAGTATTGACATAACTGAATATTCATCTAGAAAACAAAAACAAAGCTTGACCTTGACCTCTTACCAAAAACAAAAGTAAATTTAGATGAATTAAAGATAATACATGTAAAGCGCCTTTAAATAGGTAAAATAAAATACTAGAAGAAAATATAAGGGGAGGGGAGGGAGCAATAGTTACTTCACCTTGGGGATGGAGGAGACCTTAAGTAAATTTTAAAAACCATAAAAGAAAAGTTAGATATATTGGATTATATAAATTTTTATTATCAGTGTATAGAAAAAGACACCTAAAGAAAGTAAAAACTGATACACACATATATCAGAAAAAGAATTAGTATTTCTAGTACATAAAGAGCTTCTAAGAAGCCCTAAGCTCCTTAGAAGCTCTTTATGTTCTGATTTGGAACCATCTTTATTATGTAGTGTTAAAAAAAAAAAAAAAAAAGTAGAGTGAAGAACATTTTACATAGTATGGTGCCATTTTTATAAAGAAAGAGGAAAAGAATAATTTATATGTAGTTGCTTTATATACATACATAGAATGTCTCTGGAAGGATACATGAGAAAAATTGGTAACATAGGATGCCTCTAGGAAAAGGAACAGGGTGATTGGGGAAAAAGGGCCAGAGGGAAACTTTTATCATGGTGTACCTTCTTCGTATCTGTTAGATGGTCCATGAGCAAGTCTTAGTTGTTCAAATATTAATTAAATTAAATCAAAATAAGGAAAACAAAACCAAAGAGATCCATAGACTAATAAGAAAATGCCAATCCGTCTTCCCCCTACCTCCCAAAATGAACAAAAAATATGAACAGACAACTCACAAAAGACTAGATAGCCATTAAACATGTGCTGAGATGCTGGACTTCACTGAAAATCAGGGAAATGTAAATTAAAGCAACCATGAGATTTTGCCTACATGTTTGGCAAAAATTAAAATGTGTGATGATATCTAGTGCTGTGTGGATTTGGGGAAATAAGATGCTCCCCTATATTGCTGATTTGTGTGTGAATTACTGCATTTACTTCTTCAAGAAATGAAGCTGGCAGTACATAGTAAAGATAAAAACACATCCTTTTTGATCTAGCAGCTCTATTTTTAGGAAACTAGCATATTAAAAGATAAAAGAGCCAGTACATTACAAAATATGTTTGAGTTGTTTATTGCTGCAAAGTTTGTAGTGGCAAAAACTAGAAATACACTTAATGTCCAATAAGGGAATTTAATAAATATGGCATGTCCCATAATGTGGAATATTATGCAGAAATTGGAAAATAATAAGAGCTATGTGTCTTGAGTTGGAGTAATGAAAAAGCACGTTTCAAAGTAGAATGTATAGTATAACCCCATTTGGGAGTAAGGGGTGCATTAATCACACACACACACAAATATAGATGGCTGGATGCATACATACATACCTACATACGTGTATAGATATGTATGTATACACACGTTTGAGAATAAAGGAGGATGTAAGCATACATACCAGACTGTTAACACCAATGGTCTCTTAGGGATAGGATTGGTGGTAGTAGGGTAAGATGGAAGTTGTTATTAACTTAATATTCAAGCATCTTTTTATTGGTTTCTTATTATAATAAAAAGGCTAAAAATATAATGAAAAATGTTTATAAGAAATACACTTATATCTGCAAAGAATTGTATATAAGGATGTTTGTTGAATCACTGTAATAGTGAAAAAGAAGGAAAAAATGTTTGAGAGGGAAAGGGTTAAAGAAGCTATTGTTTTTCATTGCTACACCCCCAGGGCTCCTGTTTTTCAGTAGGATAGTGGTAAAAGAAACTAATAGGGAACTATTAAAAAGAGTGAGATAGATCTACAAGTACTAAAATGGGACGTTCTCCAAGACTTATCATTGAATGCAAAAAGCCAGACCCAGAACACAAGTGTAGTCTGATTCCCATTTAGGTTATAAAGGAAAGATCATTATCTGTTTGTTTGCACGTAACCTTGTATTTTAAAAAAGAAGATTTAAAAAGTTGGAAAAGACACTAGGAAGTGAGGGATTGGAAATGAAGGATCACATCAGGCTTTTATACTTTAGTATGTTTAAATCTTTTATAATAAGAATGATTTCATGAACTATTAATGGATTTAAAAAATTAAAAGTAAAAAAAGTACTTCATACAGAAAGATGATCAAAAGGTTTAGAGCGAACCAGCCATGAGAATGCTTGGAAGGAGATACATGAAGAGTAGAAAGAAGGAAGACAGAAGATGGTGTCAAGAGGAGTCATTTGATAATGGGACTCAAGAAGGAGGGAGTCAGCAATGTTTAGAGGTAGTAGAGGTGCCCTTGTATACAGCAGTAGGGGAGGGGGAGCAATGGAAGCAGGAGGGGGCCTACCACCTATTGGGGAGAACTTTCTAAATGAAAGGTACGAGGACAATAGGATTTGGCTAAGAAGCAGCAGTCTCAGAAATATTTTTAAGGTAGGCATGACCTCTGCACATGTGAAGTTCTAGCAGAAGAACTAGGAGAAGTCTGAAAGTATACTGAGATGGGTGGGGATAAACATGAGGGCAAGATTCCTCGGGAGTCAGAATGGGCTTCAAGTGGGCCCAGTTAGGCCTGCAAGGCATTAAGGGAGGATACCTTCCTCCAAAGGTGGGAAAGGATAGGAGGGTATTGGAAGAGCCACAGTGAGATGATGAGGATGGGAAGTGGGAATGCTGCCTCATCTGACTCTTCAACAGAATAGGAGTACCAGTACCAATTGCCATCAAGTTGACTCAACTCATGGTGACTCCCTGGGTGTCAGAATAAAAGAGTGCTCCATAGGGTTCTCAGTGGCTGATTTTTCAGAAGTAGATTACCAGGTGCCTCTGGATGGACTTGAACCGCCAACCTTTCAGCTAACAGCCAAGCACATTAATCATCTGCACTACCCAGGAACTCCCTAGCAAGAGTAGGAGGCAAGTTCACTTACACTAGTGCATTTCTCTTAACCATTCCATGTTCACATCTTTGATGTAGTATTGCTTTTCTTTAGTATTTGCAGATGTGGCCTTTATTAGTTCCACACAATAAACAAGCATAGACCAAGGTCTAAAAGATTTGGCCTGGCCTAAAAGAAACCAAAAGTGGGTAAGGCACAGTATTTTAAAATATTGGAAAGATGACCTGCAGTCCTGCTCCCTGAACACTTGTTTAGGCATCTTTGAAAGGATCAAGAGCATGATTCATGAAAGTCATTTCTCGATTATGAGAGGTCAGATGTGATACAATATTGTCCATGGACAGTATTTCAGGACCTGCCCTCAGGGCAGTCTCTGGTATTATCCCTTGCCACTCACCCATGGAAAATACCACTGTTTGCTCCAGATAGACTCAGTGCTGTGCAGAGCTGCTGTAAGTAAGGCACCTTAACATCTTGACTCACCCAAGACTGTCCCAGGTTATGCCTATTTTCCTGGCAGAATTATTGATAGCACCGCCTTTTCACTTTCACAGTTTGCTGGTTTGGATGGTAAATTAAAGGCTTTTGCACATACTATTCCAATTGTCTGAAATCCTTCATCTACTTTTGAACCCCCTTCAACTCAGGTGTCACCTCTTCAGAGAAGCCTTCCTTGATATCCTCATGGGCTACTTCCCTTCCTCCCCAATCCAGGCCAGAGTTCAGCGTTTCTTCTTTGTTCTCCCGTATCACCTACCAGAGTCTGGTTATTTTCTACTTGTCTATCTTTCCCACTAACCTGCAAACCTCTTGAGGAAAAGAACTATGCCTTCAATTCTCTATCTCTTCAAGGTGTAGTATAATACCCAGCATATAATATAGGTGTGCAATACATTTTTTTAAATAGCATTGACTTCTTTCTCAACAGGAGTGTTCCAAGGGCCTATTCATGTAGCCTGAGGCTCAAAGTTTGTAGAGTGATTGCTTAGATATTGCCTTCTCATAGTGTATGTGTGCATGTGTATGCTTAAATACTGTAGCAGACTATATACAAATGGAAAACCATATATATATTGTTTTGTGACCTTCTAGGTCCCCAGGCCTCTTGCGATGCGGAAAGAGGGAATTCAAACCAGAAAACGGAAGCCTAAGAACCTTAATAAATCTAAGACATCAGCAGGTGAGGAAAAGATATATGTGTGATTATATGAATAATTCAGTAGTTCTCAGTGTGTGAGAATACTGTATTCTTGGCTAGATAGGCCACCTCAGGCTGCCATAGGACAGAATAACTTCGTTCATCCCAGGCTTTTCAGGACAGAATAACAAAATAAAAAAGTAATGGCACCATGTGACATACTGGGAGCTTTTGAATTAGGCTCAACTCACACTGTGGCCTGATTATTGCCAATTGCAAAGACCGCAGTGGGCCAGCTGGGCTAGCTGAGGGCCTTAAGGAAAGAGCAACATTGCTTTGTCTCTCTATCTATAGTGTCACAGGCTCCTTCTTCCCTGAGTACTCAATTCCTTTCAGTTCTCCTTAAGTTAATTGGGCTCTAGAAGGACAGGGTTGCATTAATTATGTTCACAACAGATTTGCAATCCAAAGTATAATTAGCATTATATATTTGTACTTTACATCAACTCAGTGGCAATGGGTTTGGTTTTTTGGTTTTTATTTGTACTTTAGGAGTCCCTGGGTGGCTTAAATGGTTAACTGCTGAACTGTGAACAGAAAGGTTGGTGGTTTGAACTCACCCAGAGGCACCTCAGAAGACAGGCCTGATGATCTGTTTCCAAAGGTCACAGCCTTGAAAACCCTAATGAGCAGTTCTACTGTACACATGGGGTCACCATCAGTTGGAACTGATTCAACAGCAACTAACAACAATTTTTACTTTAAGAAGCTTCTTCATAAACATTATCTTAATGATCCTCATAAGAGCACCATGAGACCCAATTTGTTATGCTCATTTTACTGAGCAAACTGAGGCTCAGAGAAGACAAATGACTTAACCAGAATCACACAGTTATTAATGGGTAGATCTAGAATTAAACCCAGGTTTTTAGACTTTAGGATCAATAATCTGTTCAAAATACCACTCTACTTTCTTAATTTCTAGATTGAGAATGAGGACTGCTCATGTCCCCAGTCAAGAGCATTACTTACTTAGTACTGCTACCAAATTAAACAGTTGACTGGTAAATGCTACAATCGCAGAGAAAATAAATTAGCTAATCTGACAAAAAGTTTATCTTCTAATTTAAGGCATGACAAAGTCAGATAAATTGCCCTTTTCCACTGCTGAGAACATGACCAAAGTTTTACTTTTCTAGGATTCACAATGACTTACTCTTTCTGGCAGTCGTATTTCTTACTAGAACTTTCAGGGTCTTCCTGCTTCCACCCTTGGGTAATCACATTTCTTCAGATGTAGTAATCACAGGGAGAACAGGCATATCATTCTTCAGGTCCATAATCCCCTCTCCAAAATTCCAAACCCAGAAGGCTAGATTCAGCAGCAACACCTAATCTGGACAGATAGGAAGCTATTTATAGTCTTTATTTTATCCCACTTAGTATGAATATTCACGTTTTGCTGGAGAAATATTAATATATTAATTACAGGGTATTTTCTCATCCTGCTGGGGGTACTATGTAATATACAGTATTTGCACATTTTAAAACCTAAAAAATTTTGAATCCTGAAACACATGTAGCCTCAAGGGTTTGGGATAAGTTTTGGCGAGCCTGCCATTTGAAAAAAAAAAAAGAATTCTAGTATTCTGCCCCATTTTGAGAACTGTTGCCCTACACTGATAAAGGACCTCTGCTCCTCTCCCCAGCAAATGTAAATAAAGCCATTAGCACAGATCTATTCAGGCTGTCTCAAAGGGCCACCATCCATTTGTCCCTGCCCCTGGTCTGGGTGTCCTGACTCTGCCTTGTTCCAGGTCCTTCAGGTAGTGAGAGCCTTCCTCCCACCAGCAACGCTTCCAGCAACTCCAACAATGCAACCACCAGCAGCAGTGAAGAGATGCGCCCTATCAAGACAGAGCCTGGGCTGTCATCTCACTACGGGCACACCAGCCCCATGTCCCAGGTATGCCCTGTAGGCAAGGGTGGCAGGACTTTGAGTGGGGCAGTAGACTTAGTACAGGTAGCTTTGCACCATGCAGCTCTGCCAGGCCTCCAGCACGTGGCAGGCTCTGAGCTGTACCAGCTGAACTGAAAATCCTCAGCTGCAGAGCTGCTCAGTGCCCTTAGGGCTTCACCTGAGGCCGTGGGCTGTCTGCACAAGGGTATTTTATCAAGCTACAATGATTTTGGACACACAACTTCAACATACGTTTTCAGCAGCTACTCTATGCCAAGACCTTTGGAGACACAGGACAGGGATGTCAGGGTGGCACACAGTATGATGGGCAGGAAGAGAGAGAGCACACAACTACAACCTGAATCAGATGGTGTGTGTTGGGGCTAGAGGAGGCTGTAGGAGGCAGCAGGAGGCAGATGAGGGGGATCTCTAGGCAAGTTTATCCTCCTAAGTGAGGGGTGGTTTGATCTTGGCCTTGAAGGATGGGTAGAGTTTTAACAGGAGGAGGTACGGAAGGAGGACCCTCCTGGCATGGGTATAGGCTTGGACACCTGGAGAGCACAGGGTGGGTGGGTGAACTGGGGGATTGGTGAAGAGGTTACAGGTAGGATGCTGTTGTGTTTTATAATTATTTTACTTTTGTTGTTGCTGTTGAGAATATACCTAGCTAAACAAACATCAATTCAACAGTTTCTACATGTATAATTCAGTGACATTGATTACATTCTTCTAGTTATACAACCAGTCTCACCCTCCCTTTCCAAGTTGTTCCTCCCCCATTAACATAAACTCACTGCCCCCTAAGTTTCCTATCTAATCTTTTGAGTTAATGTTGCCAATTTGATCCCCTATAGATAGATCTTAAAAGAGCACAATGCTTAAGACAGACATTCTTTACTAGTTAAGCTAAACTATTTCTGGTTTTCAGGAGACTTCAGAGGATATTTTTGGTTTAAGGTTTAAAGATTATCTTATTTAAAGGTTCATCCACCCTCCATGGCTCCAGAACGTCTGGATTCCATGAGAATTTGAAATTCTGTTCTGCATTTCCCCCCTTTTGATCAGGATTCTTCTACAGCATCTTTGATCAAAATGTTCAGTAATGGTAGCTGGGCACCATCCAGTTCTTCTGGTCTCATGGCAAAGGAGGCAGGATGCCATTTTAATGAAGGATGACGGTGGGTCCCACTTTCCAATGTAGGTCCAGATGCTGAATCAGCAGTACCCTCATTCCCTCTTACAGATGATATGGTGGCATCCCTGCTCCCCTACCCCCTTCCCTCTGTGATTCCCTTCATTTGGGATCGGGATGTTCCCAAGCTTTGTCATGGTCTCCTGTTATCAGCCCACTCTTATCGCTTCTGCACTCACTTGAGGGAGGTCCAGTGTCCTAATGAGCTTTTTGCTGTCAGGATGAATAGGAAGCTGATCCTGTAGAATCAGGAAAGTCAGGAGCCCCCTCTGAGTGAGGAGAAAGGCATCTCTATTTCGAAGTGGAGAACTGATGGTAATCAGATTGTACAAAATGTCTCATGTACCAATCAGACCCTTTGGAAAAACCAGAGTATTCACTTGGTGGCTCAAACCTACTGAATCTGTTTATGTATTGTACATCAGAAATAACTGATGAGTCACCCAGACTCTTGCCTCCAAGATCACAGGGGGTTAAGAAAAACAGAGAGAAATGATCCTTGGTCCTTTGTCCTGCACTTGTCCTTTGACAAGGAGACCTCTTATCCCTTTCTACGGGTTGGAGCCATCTTGGGGAATTCTGTGTAATGGGACTCCCCTCTTCAGTGACACCCTGAGCCCTCAGGAGTAATTTAATTTACTTTATCTCTTGCTTTTTGCTTTCAGACATTCTCAGTCAGTGCGATGTCTGGCCATGGGCCCTCCATCCACCCGGTCCTCTCGGCTCTGAAGCTCTCCCCACAAGGCTACGCTGCTTCTGTTAGCCAGTCGCCGCAGGCCAGCTCCAAGCAGGACTCTTGGAACAGCCTGGTCTTGACTGATAGTCACGGGGACATAATCACTGCCTAATTACACCTCCTTCCCTCCTCAAATTCCTGCACAGACTTGGGACTTGGAGGACAGCAGAGATCAAGGCTCTGGGCTCTCCGTGGCCAGCCTCCTCTGTCTGGGAATGACTCCAAAAGAACAATTGGGAAGAAACTTGAAGTCTATGATTTGGTTAGGCGCAGGGGATGTTGAATTTTATCAGATACCTTCTCAAGGCAGGGGAACTGGAAAGAGCCCGGACTCTGATACAGAAGAGCCACACCCTTCACCAAGAGCACACTAAGTCTCTTCCATGTAGTTAGAGACTTTGCTTTCTCATTCTTCTCTCTGCCCAGTCTCCTACAGGAGACAAAATATCCCCCCTACCTTTCTTCCACTGTGGCCTAAGATTGTTGTTGTTGTTGTTGTTGTATTTCGTCAAGTCGATTCTGACTCATAGCGATTCTGTAGGACAGAGTAGAACTGCCCCAGTGGTTATAGGGCTCGGCTGCTAACCAAAAAGGTCGGCAGTTCAAATCCACGAGCCGCTTCTTGGAAACCCTATGGGGCAGTTTTACTCTGTCCTATTGGGTCTCTATGAGTTGCAACCGACTCGACAGCAATGGGTTTTTTTTTTTTTTTTTTAATCATTATGAAAGCAGATTGCCAGGTCTTTTCTCTCATGGAGCTGCTGGTGGGTTCAAACTGCTGACCTTCCAGTTAGCAGTCAAGTGATTAACTGCTGCACTACCAGGGCTTCTTGTGGCCTAAGGCAGTGGTTTTTAAATTGTGCTCCTGGCACCTGGGATCTGAGGGAGGGTAGAGGGGGCAGGGCCCTGGGAAGCCTGCTCCAGCATGAACTAGAGCATCTGTTTTACATGTATCTTAGATGCAACAGACCCCTTTGGGCAGCCCCTGCCCTTGCCCAACACTCCCCTGAAGCTTGGCACATCCTTGCATCCCCAGTACAAAATCCAACTCCAAAAATATTGGGTGTAATGTAGATGTTACTGAATGTTTCTTAGGGAAAAGGAGGAGAGCGTTACTTCATCCACCACACAGTATAGCTTCATCAAAACTGCAACTTACCAACTTTGCCTCCCTAAAAGTCCTTTCCCCTGCTGACAGCTTCATCCCTTTGCTCCTTCTTCTCATTCCAAAGGCCTCTTAAATAAAAACCCTTCCTATTGTCCCGAGTGACTGAGGACTGCTTTCAGCTTGTGTATGTCTCTCCCTCAGCAAAACAAGAGCTTGGTAGTTAGCCTAACAGCAACCAACTCAAACTTACCCCTACCCCAAAAAACCTTCATTTACCCCATCACACACAGAGGGGTTCTGAGTAAGAACAAAAATGTTCTGCTGCTAACACAAGTTTGAAAAACGCTGATATAAGATGTGAGACTTTTCTGGAGAGAATGTCTGGTGGATATGGTCCCCCTGGCTGGGGCCAGCACTGTTTTTGGGGACCTGGGACTTTCAGTGGACTCTGGATCTCTTGGTCTCTGATCCTGCTGGTGCTGCCATTTTTCTTTGGAGATGTGCCTCTTGATTAGACAAAGGGCATGGAGCACCTGGACTTGCAGCTTTTCCCCCAGTGAAAATCATTTGTCCAGAAGGTGAAAAGCCAGAGATTTACAACATAAATTAAAAACAAACAAAGCAACACAAAACCTATGGGAAGAAAGAAGATGACCTGTAAGAAAAAACACTGAGGGTGGGCCTTGAGGGAATGTCCTGCCCTGAGCTGTTCTGGAATTGGCCTACTTCTCTCCATGTTGCTCAGTTTCTACCAGTGACTCTGGGACTCATGAAGACTCTTCTTCCTTGTCCTTGTTATCAACAGAGCTATAGCTGACTGTGGCATTACTATGTGCTACCCCAGAGCACCCAGCCCCTCACCAAAAAATCCTACTGGCTGTAGCAGAGAATATCTTTAAGACAAGATTCTGTTTCAGTCATCATTTACATTGTTTTCTTCCATGAAAGCCACCCTAATATACCTGCCCTAACCCACAAACCTGTTAACATGGTCTTAAGGTGAAATGGCTGTAAAATCAGTATTTAACAAATAAATTTATCTGTACTTCTCTTTCCATTCTTCTCCTACCACAGAGGTCTTTACTGGGAGGTTTGGTGCTGTCCTTTGCAAGGAAATCTTGAGCCACAGAGCTCCTTTGCTGATCCACTCTCAAGCTGCTTTTAAAATCATTTTCGGCAGTTAGCCAAGTCTTCCTGTCTGTGTATGATGCTGACCGGTGAAAAAGAACACTCCTCCCAGCCCTGCCACTGACTAACGGGCAGCCTTAGACAGGCTACTTCTTGGCTTTAGTTTGCTAGGAGAGGGTCGGACCAATTGTTAACTAAACCTCCTTGTGACCCAACACAAGCTAGTCAATGAAGGAAGAGGGCATTTTTAGATCTGCCCTCCTGGCTGCCAGGAGCTAGAATATGAGTCAGAGGTCTGGGGTAAATGATCTCTCCACCCCAGCCTGGTTTAAGATGTGTGCTAGAGGGTCACCCTGAGGAGCTCTTTCTGTCTTCTACTTTTCCTTTATGGTTTGATCCAAACAAGCCCCTGAAGGGGCAAATGATGCTCCATACTAATGGGAGAGGGAAGCAAAATATTCTCTCCTTTACTGATTTTGTCTTAACTTTCTTAGGCTATGGGATTGCTTAACTGCTTCAACTTAAAAGATGTGTTTGGGGATTCAGTACCTGTGGAATGGGATCCAGACAGTGCAAGTCATCCTCATTCAGAACTGGTCATGGTGGCTTCCTGCCTCTCTGAACTGAATTATGCCAAACTCATTTGGCAACTGGGGTCATTTAACCTTGTACAACACCCCTATTATTTTTGAGCAGGTAAGAAGAAAGCTATTGACAACCATGTTTTGAGGTAACATCAGAAAAGCTTAAATTTGCTAAGGAACAGTCAACCTATTAAATATAACTGCCATTGAGAAGGGTGAGTAGTTGATAACACTAATAACTAAAAGTAATAAAATATATTTCAAAAAACAAAGTCTATCAGGACTTATGTTCCCCATAGGAAGTACATGTTTTCTGATGATGAAGTCTGTTTAAAATATTTTTGCCTCTTCTCTTTAGTAATTGGTTTCAGAATAAAATTATACACAGTATGAGAAGATTGATCCATTCCCTATATAGTCATAATTTGTACTCCACCCCAAATGGTATAATCCTGCTCGATTCAGCCTCCTTCCTCACTAGACTTGGTTACTTTCCAAAATTTATCTGCAGAGGAGGTTGATTTGCTACTAACTGGTTGTTGTTAGGTGCCAGTGAGTTGGTTCCAACTCATAGCGACCATATGTACAACAGAACAAAACACTGCCAGGTCCTGTGCCATCCTCACAGTCACTGCTGTGTTTGAGCCCATTGTTGCAGCCACTGTGTCAATCCATCTCACTGAGGGTTTTCCTCTTTTTCTCTGACCCTCTACTTTACCAAGCATGATGTCCTTTTCCAGGGAGTGATCCTTCCTGATAACATGTCCAAAGTACATAAGACAAAGTCTCACCATCCTTGCTTCTAAGGAGTGTTCTGGCTGTACTTCTTCAGAGACAGATGTGTTCATTCTTCTGGCAGTATATAGTATATTCAATATTCTTTGCCAACACCATAATTCAAAGGCGTAAATTCCTCTTTGGTCTTCCTTATTCATTGCCCAGCTTTCACATGCATATGAGACAATTAAAAATACCATGGCTTGGGTCAGGCACACCTTAGTCCTCAAAGTGACATATTTGCTTTTTAACCATTTAAAGAGATCTGTTGTAGCAGATTTGCACAACGCAATGAGTTGTTTGATTTCCTGACTGCTGCTTTCATGGGCATTGATTGTGGGTCCAAGTAAAATGAAATCTTTGACAATTTCAATGTTTTCTCTGTTTTTCATGATGTTGCCTATCGGTCCAGTTGTGAGGATTTTTGTTTTCTTTATGTTGAAGTGTAATCCATACTAAAGGCTGAAGTCTTTGATCTTCATCAGTAAGTCCTTCAAGTCCTCTTCACTTTCAGCAAACAAGGTTGTGTCATCTGCATATCGCAGGTGGTTAATGAGCTTCCTCCAATCCTGATGCCACATTCTTCTTCATATAGTCCAGTTTCTCAGATTATGTGCTCAGCATACAGATTGAATAAGTATCGTGAAAATATACAACCCTGATGCACACCTTCCCTGATTTTAAACCAGGCAGTATCCTCTTGTTCTATTTGAACAACTGCCTCTTTGTACAGGTTCCACATGAGCACGATTAAGTGTTCTGGAATTCCTATTCTTTGCAATATTATCCATAATTTGAGCCACTAATTAGGGTATTGGAGCCCTTGTGGTGCAGTGGCTAAGAGCTCGGCTGCTAACCAAAAGGTCAGTAGTTCGAATTCACCAGGCCCTCCTTGGAAACCCTATGGGGCAGTTCTACTCTGTCCTATAGAGTCGCTATGAGTCTGAATCAACTCGATGGCAATGTGTTTGTTGGTTTAATTAGGATATTATAAAAGGTGAAATTAACAGAGAGGTGTTCCAAGATGGTTGGGAAGCAGCTGGGGGGATGATGGGAGTAGGGGTAGCAATAAGGGTGCTGTTAGAATATCTATGTCTGGTCTCCTAATGTGGTAAGTGAAGGGGCCAGAATGCATGTGTCTATGTTAAGAAATCACACTACTGTACAGTTACCCCTCTGGCTATGGCAAAACCTTTTGAAGCAGAGTCCAAATCATTTAACAATTGGAGAGAATTCATCCTCAATATTTGACACTTGGATGCTTTTGGAGGGGGGTGAGAAGTAGCAGATTTGGCTATAATTATGTTTTGCTTTGGTTGATAATAATGAAAATAAATTTATATTCACTGAACATGTATCAAATGGAACTGGAGGTGGGACTTATTTGGACGAATCCACCGGAGTGCCCAGAACTTGATAAGCTGATTTGGATACGGAGTGCATAAGACACAGCCATTTGGAAAAGCTTATGGAGTAGAGTGGTTGTGTTATCATTTCATAGCATTAAAAACTACTCTTCCAAATTGTACATGGGCCTTACCTGAAGCTAAAACACAAGTATGCCACCATCCCATAACAACACAAATATGCATCATCCCATAACCAAGGGCTATCCTCTCAAAGCTTCAGTGTGTAGCTTTGGAAGTGGAGTAGCCAAGAATCTTTCTGTGGTCCATCTTCCCCTTGACACTTGCTTTTGTTTCAGTTACTAAGGCCTCTATACCCTTGGCTTTGGGAGTGGTGCCGCCCTATAAAGCTCTTGCTTCTGTGTGATTAAAGCTCTTTTTTTTTTTTTTTTTCAAATTTTCCTTC